TTCTCTCTCTCTCTCTCTGTAGATCTCTTAGCATTCTGCAGAGATAGAGATGTTTTAATTCGGATGAGGATACAGAGAGCAAGAACTAAAGGAGATACCTTTCTCTCTCTCTCTCTCGTCGGCTGTCACTCTGGACGTTCCATTACAGAAGGCAAACATGGGCTGCTTTGGTTGGTAAAGAGCAGAAAAACATCTGGTGACGAAGCGTTGTTCCACGAAGCCAGGCGTCAACCTGCTTGGCCCTTGATTCTGACTTCCCCATGCAAATTTCCAGTTTTCCATTTCTGTCCCTCTTAGTCTTAGACAGTTAGACTCTTAGCTTGGTATTGGATATCAGAGCATCTTTGGGATATTTGAGTCAATTCACCTGTTCATCTTTATTACCGAAATGCCCCGGAGATGCTGAAGCATCGGCAGCTCTCGATACCCCATCGCATCGGAGACCTTTTATTAAATGATGAGATGATGATCAGCTCGTCTCCTTTTCTTCTTACAGTTAATGCGATACAGCAAAAGTACAGAATTGCCCTTCTCTTCGGCTTTTTATATTTACCCCGCAATGGAATTTTAACAGAGAGGGGTGTTCCTGAAAATTTATCATTTGAAAATATCTCGTTTCTGGTGTTTGGAATTGTAACTTCATTTGGATCTCTCGCATCCCGTAGCCAGTGTTGGAAATTGGAATAGAATTTTACTTCGCTCAATTCAAAATGTAATAAAATAATTTTTTAATGTTAATGTTTAATAAAATAATTTTATGTTGTAAACACGATAATTCCAAAATTAATTTTTAACCCATTTATTTTTCTCTCTACTTTTCATGTGTAACTTTCTTGACTTTCATGTTTTATTGCGAAAACATAATACCACTTCAACAAAGTTCCTTTTTTTTACTGGTCTAACGGCTCGCGATACGTATGTATTCAAATTTATTAGGAATGAAAGTACGGAATTTTTGTTTGATTAAAATAATATTATTTTAGAATTTGTTAAAAATATCGTATTATTGAATTTGGTCCTCTCTGATTCCTAAGACAAAATATTCTCCTTTTCGCTCAGTTCGATTATGATACAAAAAAAATTTTGCAGCCAAATGAATCATTTCAGCCCGGTCCGCACAAGTTTGGTCTGGAAATTTTGGGTTTGGGCCTGGGTTTTGTATTCAGCCTCGGCCCCGGCTCAGGCCTATATCATGCCCGCAAATTTTAGGGCCGGGTTTCGGTTTAAGTTCAGTCTGTATATATTTAAACTTACACACACACACATATATATATATATATATATGTGTTATATATTTTATATATAAAATATTATAACATGACATGTATAATTTATATTATATATAATATTTTATATAATATAATATATAAAATAAGTTTATATGCATGTTATGTCATTTAATATATAGATAGGTAATGTTTTATATATGAGTGACATTGGCATGAAATCAGGCCCATATAGACTTGGGCTAGGACTTATATTTTACGCCCGTAACCTCGGGCTGGGCCAGGCCCGGGCCTAAGCTATAGCCTTTACCATAAGTGCAAAGCCCGGCCCGGCCCATGATCACCCCTAACTAGTATCATAAAATAGGTGAGGTAATGTAGTACTTATGACAGTTCATGGAGTGCTTTAATTGGTCAAAGCATTTTTGGTACCATGCCTTTACGATGTCATGGATTTTCGGTGCAATTTGGCAGGCCTAAGGGTGCAATTTGAGTGGGCCCAGCCTGAGCCTCAACTGTTCCAGCCTAAAATTTTACACAGGTTAGGCTTCGATTTTTGGTTCTCAGGCTGGGTTCAGGCCCAAAAAATTGGGTTTTTCTATTTTTTGGGTTGGGCCCGGGCTTAGTCCTTAGGTAGCCCAAACTTGGCTCAATTATGTATATTCATACAACTATGTATGAATATACATAATTGAGCCAAGTTTGGGCTACCTAAGGATATATGCATATTTATATGTATATACACTTGTATACATATTTGCATAAATGCATACATGCATTTATAATTTTAGAATGGGTTCATTGACTAATCCAAACTCAGTGCGGGCCTGAGCCCAACCTGAGTGCATCAAATTATAGTGCGGGCTAGGCTTGGGTTGGGAAGATTAGGCTTAACCTTAGGCTCAGCCCGAGCTTGGGCCTTAAGCCCAAATTTTAGGATTGGGCCTGGATTGACCATAAAGTCGACCTAGCCCGAGCTTGGGCTAGGCTTGGTTGAAATGACCCAAGTTGCAATTTTACACAGGTTGGATTTGGATTTTAGGGGCTCAAGTTGGACTTGGGCCCAAAAGTTTGGGCTTTTACATTTTTCAAGCTGGGCCCGAGCCTAGCCCTTAATAACCTAAACCCAACCTTACTTTTTCTTAACCCAAGCGTGACCAACCTATGTACATATTACATAAATGCATACATACATACATATACATATATATTGAAAAACCATACATATATGCATATATGCATATATGCATACATGCATGCATGCATGTGTATAGAAATTTTGTAGAAAACATTTGGGCATTTCCCAAATATTATATATTCATCTTATGAAACAAAAATACAAACATTAAGAAAAGTGTAGAAAAATTTGGACACATTTCTAATATTTTATATTAATAATATTAAATAAAATAAGTGTAATATACAATAATTGTTTTTATTGATAAAAGAAATAAAATACAAAATTTAAACTAACTCAAAAGGTCAATAGTTCAACCTTTTAGGTTAAATATGTCCACTCCTAATGTCAAAGTTAAATAATAAAAATAAAAAAAAAAGATAAAAAGCAAAAATATGAACAATATAAAAAATATAAAAAAAATATTTATATACATCTCTAATTTCTTATTTTCATAAAATAAAAATAAATGTGATAAATAAAAATTAATTGTATACACATAGGAATATAAAAATGTAAAAAAACTAAAAACATTTTATTACCATCATCATACATTTTATTTACCATCCTCACTTAAAATTATCATGTGTAAAACACATGCATATTTGCTATAATAGACATAAAAAGTGTAAAGTATAAAAATTAAGCTGCATAACACCAAAAAGTAAAGTATTCACATATTATATAGCATAGATAAGGGTTTGGGTTTACTAAGGGATGTACTTTGGGCTGGCCATAGGGAGGGCAATGATTGGGGTACCCATGAAAATTGCCCTTCGGAGTCCTGAATCCGCCTAAGTACCCTTCATCCCACCCTATTATCATATCCTATTATTTTGTGTCATTTTACAAATTTGAAATCCATATTCAATTTTATAGTGCCCATTGAGCTCACCATAATTGATTCCATAATTAACCTTATAATACACCACTTATAACATAGTTTCATTAACTATTTCTATCTCATAATTAATTCAATTAATTCTATTTGTTAATTTAAAATCAGTCGTATATCTATCTATACTATTATAAAAAGAACGAATGAGGGTGTTAAATTTTTTTGACCAAAATGTCCACATTTGTTATTTAATTCATCTCTAATTATGAAGTTTGAAAATTTAATTTTAATTTATGCTTTCCACGTCATTTAATTCCCATCATTAACTCTTATATTTAAGGTATTAATTCTCATTCTCTCTTATTAAACTCTATTTTAAGTTATTTTTTCACTAATAAATGCTACTAATTAGATCTATGTCCAATAATTTTTAACAATATAAACTCATTTATTTTAAAAGTTACTAAAAAGCAAAACCATTTTTTACCCAAAATAAGCAATTCAACCATCATAATCAAATTGGTCAACCCATGAAGCCATAGTTAGATAATAAATTTTTTAAATAGAAACAAATATAAAAATTTACAAAAATGTAGAAAAATAGACACATTTATGATATTTTTATTAATCAAATTAAAAAATAAGTGTAATAAACAAGAATTAGTTTTATTGATGATGAAAATGAAATACATAATCCAAAACTAACCAAAAACGAAATCATTTTCCTGTATAGCGGAGATTAATAGTTTATAATGAAAAAATTAATAAATAAATGTCATAATTAATTATCTTATGTGTTCCTGTGATGAAGTAATAAAATATAAAAACACAAAAAAAGAAAAAATAGATAAATTTTACAAAAAAAAATTATAGAAATATGAATAAGATTGTGGATCTTTCTTTTGAAGAAAATACTCATTTTTTGAACTTAATCCATATTTAATTGTGGTGTTTAAAATGTAGTTTGAACTACAATTTTCACATCATTCAATTCCCTCTCTTTAAATCTTACATTTTTTTTGATAAATGAATAATAAAAATACATTATGAAAATAAAACATTACAAAATGAAAAATCCACCAAGTAGGTAGGCTGTCAATGATACCCAAAACTTTATAGCCCAGTATGAGGTACTTACATAATCAGATTCAGAGTTTGCAATCTACATCCAATTTATAATGAAAAACAAAAAATATAAAAAATATAAAAAAATACATGAATTTTATAGAAATTTTTTAATACATTATAACTATCATTATCTTGATATAGAATTCCCACGTGCAAATCATGCCCATACTTCTTTTTATTAAGGCATAAATTACCAAAAATTCATTTACAAATACACATTTGCACTAATGTGTATTCATCATTAGTGCTTTGGAAGTAGGTAAAGATTAATTGTAGCAAAGAGGTAGTTTTTATTTATACAGAGCAAGCAGACTGAAAGGTTTGGTGCTCCCCCGAAGTGGCTTTCAGAGGAGTTAGAAAGAGGCCTCTGCTTTTTTGCTGTGTTTTCCTGCAATTGGCAATCATTTCTAATGGATTGGATTGGGTTTCGCTGCTAGGATTTTCATTGCTTTCCTCAACTCCACCTCTGCATTCTCCCACTCAGTAAATACAGCATCATAACTCATAAGGCTAGCTGCTTGACTGAAACGATTCAAGTAATACTTTGATGGCTTTTTCTGATTGGTTTTAATGCAAATTAATGGAAAAAAAACAAATTTTTCATGAATTCATTATTAAATTTTAAAGCGTTACATGACAAGTCAACTCAACTGGGAGTCCGAGAGCTATGACTGTAATCGTAAGTCATGAATTCGAACATTCAATCTTCTGAGCCATACCGAATGAAGAATCATGTGGTAGACATCAAACCTCTTAGGTGGGAAGTTCACTTCGAAATGCCTCCTCACCTTGAGCCCTCTTCGCTGCATTCTTTTGTACTGCCTTGTAGGGATACTCAGCAAAATTCTTTTCAGGTTGGGAATTTCGCTCACTGGAACCTCAACCGAGAAGGATTTCCAGTTCAGAACATCGCTGAATGGTGGGACGTAATGGTCTGAGATCAACACAGGAACACATCCCGCATAGATTGCCTCCACGATTCTTGGGCTCGCAACTTCATACCCACTTGGGCAGATGCAGTACTTACTCTTCTTCATCATGTCGTAGTACGATAGGCCTTTCGGGAGGTACTCGTATACCTTTACATCTTCATCTTTGTTCTTCCAGTGTTCTAACAGCAGTGGTCGGATGGGACCGTGCAGCCCTCCGGCGAAGAATGCGAGTATAGGACGACAGGAAGGAGGTGGCCCGCCGATGAGCCCCTTGGTTTCTCCGGTTCTGAGATTGATTTCCGGGAAGGATGCATCTTTGGCTGGGTTGAATCCTTCTGAGGTGTTTGCATTGCACAGAACTCGGATGCCATTTTTGTATAGATGTGGAACGTAGGAAGATGTTAGTGGCCCCTGTGAGTAATGGAGAGAAGAAGTTCATGTGATTAAGACAAGAGCAGAGGAAACTGTTCTCTCTCTCAGGCATACATCAAACACATTTGATTGGATGGCTGAGTCCATGCCGTCTTACTAGCCTAATCTACAGAAAGAAAAAATATCTTACCCAATCATGGCAAGAAAGCATGAAGTGATCGGCGGCAAGGCTCCTATTCCAATATGGGTATTTTCCGGCGATGAGGTTGACATAATCGATCACAGTTTGTTTTATGGGGCCAATGTCATGGGAGTTGGGCACATAGACGAACCGAACCATCTGTGTGACACTGAAGGGAAGGAAGAAAGCATAAGCCTCTTCAGGATTTCTGGTTCTAAAGCGTTTATCCATCTCTATCTGGTGAATGAAGTTTCCCTCCATGGAATATATGCTTCTACATGGACCATCATGGAACAGCGGTGGCTCTCCTTCTTCATAGATGAAGATTTTGAACTGTTTCTCCATTACCAAATAGCTTCTGCAATATAATTGAAAATAACCCTGTGATTTTGAGAGAGAGAGAGAGAGAGAGAGAGAGACCCAGAAAGATGAATGTGGTGTACCTGTGAAAGGCTTGGGCATTCCAGTACATGGGACCTTCTGGAACGTAATCGAAGTCAGAAGTTTGATTCCCCTTCTGATGAGCAGCTTCTCTTATTGCAGCCCGAATCTTTGCTAGACCTGCTTCCAACCTCTCTAGTTGGGTATGATTTTTCTGCATTTTAATAATTGTGGGAGCAACATCAGACCCATTAATCCTCTCTGATTTGCTATTTTCTTCCGCCACCTTCATGATTACGGGATCAACATTAGACCCATTAATCCTATCTGATTTGCTATCTTCCTCTGCCACCTTCGTGATTATAGGAGCAACACCAGACCCATTAAGCCTCTCTGCAGATTTGCTATCTTCCCCCGCCTCCTTCATTACTGCGGGAGCAACATCATGCCCATGATGATTAATTGGGATCCTCAGATCCTCTTGATTTCTTTCATCCTACCAAAAAAAAAATGGTTAATGATTTAGTATATACAATGAAGTGGAATTCTTTTTTTGTTTTTTTTAGGGTAAAATTAAGAAAAGGAAAGAAGTGAAATTCAATACCATGACAAATTTTGGGCTACCACTAAATGCAAATAACACCAAAAAAATAAATAAATTTTGCATCAGATTGGAGTACTAGTAGTTACAGACAAACCGGATACAAAGCTAAAACGGGTGCGTTCAGATTTGAACAGCAAACAAACAGGCTGAAGGAAAAAAAAAATGAATGAAATGGCATATATCAAATCCAGCGTTTAAACCTGAGGCAAGAAAGAAGAGTAGAGAAGAGAAAGGAAAAGCACAAGCGTCTCTCACTGGTCGTTGGATATAAGAATAAGGAAAAAAGAGGTGAAGGGACTAAGATTCTTACAGGTGATTGGAGTTGAAGAATCTCTGCAGGAACCATCTGTGGTGAAGAAGATTGATTGAAAATAGAAATGTCAGACCAAAGAGTTTCTTGTACATGATGAAGAGGAACCGCCTTTGGATGTGTTTCCAGATGTCTCTCACTTTCTTCAGTCGAAAAACAAGGCAGTCTCATTGAAGCAACAGATGTAGTTTCAGTGGTTGTTATTTTTGTTGCAGGAGAAAATGAAGAACAAGGGGTACCGGCTCCCCAGAGCAATGGATAATCAGACGAAGTAGAGGTTCCTGATGAACCCTCCATACAAAGAAACCCAGATAAGAAAACCAAAGGAACTACAACCACAAGGAGCTTAGGAGACGGAGATGAAGGTGCCCAACAAAATGAAGCCTTGTCCCAATCCTTCATTCTCTCTGCCTCTCTGTATAGATCTCTCTGGCCAGCTGCAGAGATGGAGATTCAGATGAGGATACAAGAGGAAATAGTTTAAGCTTTCTCTCGTCCGTTGTCACTTGGTCGCTCCATTGCAAAAGGCAAACATGGGCAGTTTTTGGTTGGTTAGAGGAAAAAAAAAAGAATGAAAGAAAGAAAACATTTGGTGACGAAGTGTTGTGCCACCAAGTAGGGGTGTCAATTGGACCGGATTTGGTCCAATCCAATCCGGTCCAAAATGAATCCAATCATCCATTACAGATGGACCAGGTCCATTCGAATCCAATTATTACTTTGGATGATTTTGGACCGATCCAATTTAATGTCTGGACCGTCAAACCTGTTCAAATTGATTTTAATTTAGATTGGTTCCAACTTCCAACCTAAGCCTGGTCCATTGACACTTGTATTCTTATCTTCTTCAATGGATCAGATATTGGTTCACTCCAACTCAATCCAATATAAATTTATTATGGATGACCAGATCCAATTCAATATGTCTTATTGGTCTATCTGTCCAATCTGTTTAAATTGATTTTGATTTGGATGAAATCCAGGTGTCCAATTCAAAATCAGTCCATTGACACCCCCACCACCAAGCCAAGTGTCCATTTTTATCCCTTGTAGTGCAAGCACGGATATGCTACTCGAGTGTCACATCAACGCAGGGTATTGAAGCTCGGTTATTGGACAAGTGAGCATCTTTGGGGCATTTGGGTCAACAAACCTAGGGATGAGCATGGGTCAGTTCGGTTCAGTTCCATGGCAGAATTTGGCACCTATCCTACAGGGGTCGGTTCCAAGCTTTTGGAACTAGAACCTATCCTTTGAAAGTTGGTTCCAAGGTCTGTTCCAGGGTTGGTTCCAAGGTTCTGCCGTGGAACCTGTTCTTTCTTTATTATTCCTCTTAAAAAAAAGAAGCATATTCTTTAAAAAAAACTTGATTTTTGATAAATATAACATATAGTTTAATATGTAGATTATCATTCTATGATTCAAACTTCAAAACTTATATTTTAAATTTAAATTTTGTAAATATTAACTTTTGCATTAATTATTGTATACATTCAAATATTAAATTGAAAATAAATGATCAAATTATTTAAGTAACTCAAAGTGAGACCATGGCCTTTGTAACAATGAGTGTTTGGATTCAAATATTTACATCCCCAAAAGTATTTTAGTTTGTATTGGATAAACCCCTAGACCTTAGAACCGTCGTGGGTGGAAGTCGATTTCAAGAATTTGAAACTAGACCCTACCCTATAACAATTTTAGGTAGAACCTAACTATTCATCTTAGGTAGAAACTACCTATTCACTCACCCCTAAATGATACACATATTCATCTTCATTACCAACATGCCCCGAAGATGATACTTAAGGATATGTTTGGTTTGAAGGAAAAAGTAAGAAAAGGAAAAAAAAAAAAAACATAAAGAAACTTATATGAGGCTTGTAAAGATTTCCTTACATTTCCCTTTATTTCCTTACTTTTTCCTTCAACATCAGCAACATATTACATACCAATACCCCCTCTCTCTGACTCCAGGGGCATTTGGGTCAATACACCTTTATTTGTTTCGTCTCTTCATCCGGTTAATGCGGTACAACAAAAGTACAGAATCGCCCTTCTCTTTGGCTTTTGTTATTCAACCCACGTTTGCTACGACACTGCCGTAGCCCTGCGCTGAAACAACTAAATCAAACCCTTGATTTGTTATCAACTTACCATGGGACAGTGTCGTAGCAAAAGTAAACTCTGTTATTTACCCCGCACTGGAAGAAAGTAATTTTTTAATATTTAAAAGATGTAATAAATCTCTCGTTGGACTCTTTTTTTTTTCAATTTGGACTTAACGTATAATTTCTTTGTGTTTTTGCATCACTTTGGACTTTTTTTTTCCAATTTGGTACGTTTTATTTTATATAATAAGTTTAAGGGCACATGTACAAATAGAAATAAGACGGTAAAAATATAAAAATTAAACGTTATATGATATATGATTTAAGTTTTATGAATATATCAAAATCAAAAATCAAACTGTATTTTTTTCTCTATTGCCACTTTTGCCCTTGGTTTTTTCTTTCTTGGTAGGGGAATTTTTGTTCCACAACAATTAGGGTAGCCTTTCCCTCTCTCCATAAAAAATGATTTACCCACTTGGGAGAAGGGAAACACTTACACGAAGAAATGGCCCAAAAATTTATCCAATAGATAATGCATTTTCTGTGGGCCTTACAGTTCTCTGTAAAGACTACCCCACCCCACCCACTAAGCGTACAATTTTGGTGGGCCCAACCCAAGCCCTTTATACAAATTGGCCTTGGATTTTCATTCTTTGGGCTAGGACTGAGCCTAAAATATCAGGGTTTTTTTTAGTTCTTGGGCTGAACCCTGGCCTAGCCTTTACGTAGCCCAACCTAGTCAAACATCATCTCAATACGCTTAGTTTGAGCTCAGCCCAACTATATATAAGATATACATATAAATATTTATTTGCATATATACATAGACACATGTATCAAATTTTAATATGGGCTAAGTCTTGAATGGACAAATTAGGCTTGACCTTGAACTCAGTCCGTATTGTACCTTAGGCTATGTTTGGTTGCAGTGCAATTTTATTTGTACTAATATAAATGCATGAGAGTGCAAATGAAAAGAATGCAAATTCTCTTTTAATTTTGTTTTGAGTCTTACTTTATTCTGCTTCAAGTCTTAATTTACTTCATTTGTACTTCAATCAAACAAAATATGTTAAAATAGATGAGAATTTACACTCAAATTATTTGCATTATCATAGTTTTGCATCAACAGAAATTTATTTACAATGCAAACAAAATTTACATTGCAAATTTAGGCTGTGTTTGGTTGCAGTGCAAATTTAATTGCACTAGTACAAATGCATGGGAGTGCAAATGTAGAAAATGCAAATTCTTGTTTAATTTTGTTTTGGGTTTTACTTTATTCTGCTTTATGTCTTAATTTACTGCATTTGTACCGCAATCAAACAAAATAAGCTAAAATTTAAAACAAAAATAGGTTAGAATTTACACTCAAATCATTTACACCGTCATGGTTTTGCATCATTGCAACCAAACACAGCCTTAAGATCAGTTTAGAAGGAATACAAATACAAATATGTAAGACTCAGTTTGGAAGGAGTATAAATACAAATACGTAGAATACAAAACCTGATATTTTATATTATTTTTATATACATTTGTATTGTACATATTTATATTTATACTCTTTACAAACCGAGCCTTAAAGAATTGGACCATAATATAGAAATACTAGCAGGGACCCGTGCAATGCACGAGAAAATCTGAAAGATTTAATAATTTTATTTTTTATTTAATGTTGATTTATAAAAAATAATTATTGTTAATTGAATATGAACAAATATTTTTTAATAAATTTAGTTTTATTAATAATTTGTTGTAATTTTAATAATTTTTATTCCTTTTATTATTATAAATGAAATTTTGATTAATTTTAAATAATAAAAACAATTATAAAAGCTAACATTTTTATTAATTCCACTAATAATTAACAATTATATAGGAATGACAACGGGGTGGGTTTAGGGTAGGTTACACCATCCATTTCCCTGCCCTGTAGTTAAGACACTCTATCCCATCCCCACCCCGTCCCCAGTGTCACATCACGTGGGTTCAGGGCAAGGTAACCACTCCTCAAAGTCAGGCGAGTTCAGGGGCAAGGCACCCCACTCCTCATCAAGGATGGAGAATCCTCGAATTTCACTGCCCTGTCCCCAGTATTGGACGAGTTTAAGTAGAGGTGTAAATTGGGTCGTGATCGGTCGGCACGACACGACTCACATGTGGCAATGTGAGTCGTGTCATGCTGGCACACGAGGCATCCTAGGCCATGCCTCTGCCCTCTAGGATAATTTGGGGCTTTGGTTCGACACGGCCCACGACTCGAGCCTGTGTCATGTCGTGGGTTAGGTTGGTCCATGGGTCGGGCCTTAGGCTAGGCCATGCCACACACCAAGCCAATCTCAAGGCAAGGCACACACTCCTCGTCCAAGGATTTTAAAATTGGACCAGATAGGGAACCGTTCTGGGGTCAAACAGTCTGACTGTTCGGTCCAAATGGATGACCCACTCTAACAAAAAAAAGGCCAAAAACTATTGTCCAGTTGATGGTTTGACCGCCCAGGTCAGCGGTTCACCAACCAAATAAACGTTTTTTGGACAAAAAACGATTTTGAGGTGAAACGGTGTCTGGTTCCCAATTTTTCCGGTATAACCATCTGGTTTGATCCAGTTCTGAAAAAACTGTCCCTACCAACCCAATATTCAATTTGATGATAAAAATGATCAAAAGGATATATTGAGTATCAACCACATGGTAAATTTCTAAAAGTAGACTAAATTGTCTTTAATATTCAAAAATATAATTTTATGAAAACTTTGGAAAATTTATTGTACTTGTGTAATTTTTAAAATTTATTTAAATTCTTATTAAATAATTGATTTTATTTTTAAATGGTTTACTTATAGAATTATTCTAATTTATCTTATAATTTCTAATATAAACTAACCAATAATTTCCTTTTTCCAATATTGTACTGATTTATCATAATAATTTGTGTAATTATTTGTTTAAATTATTGTTTTCCATTTCCCATAGTCATTTATCTTTAATAATTTTCAATAATTTGCAATGAAAATTACATAATTTTTCAATGGTTTTCCAAAATCCATAGAATGTAATAAATTTTCCTAAAATTTCCAAAATATACTAATAATTTTCAATAATTATTT